CCCCCCCTTTCCCCGAGCCCTCACGTTAGGGAGTGGCCCATTGTATGCAGGCAGCAAATAGCCCGGCGCCCTCCCCACGCTCCCCCAGCCCCGGGTGTCTGTAGTCGGCTGCGTGGGGCCGCGGGGCTGTCCCTATCGTCCCCTCCCCCCCTCCCACCCCCGGCTGCCAGCCCCCTGCTGGGGCCGCCGAGCGGGGAGATCCCGGCAGCCGGCGGGAGGGGAGCCCCCTCCGAACACCCGGGGAACCCCCGCAGCATCACAGCCCACCCCGCCTCGCTGCGGCTGGAGGGGAGGGAGGGAAAGGGAAGGGCATCCCCGGCCCCCCGCGGGGGTTTGCTTTCGCCGCCGGAGCAGGAAGGAGGGGAGGATGGGGATGAAGGATGCCGGGAGAGGAGGCTGCGGGCTCTGCCTCGCCGACGCGGCTCGCTCGGAGACGAGACAAGCTTCCACCCGGGGAAGGGGCTTGGGGGCAGGGCGGCCGTGCATCCTCCAGCCGAGCCGGGCTTCGGGTTTCGGCACGGCTCTCCTGCGGGGGATGCTGGTTCTACTACCGTAACAAGGGCTGCGGTCCTCAAAGCAGTCGCCAAAGTGAATGGCTCTATGCGGGAGCAGAGCCGAGCAGAGCTACAGCCCCTGCCCTGAGACATCAGTAGCAGGACCCAAATCCACAAGGGATGGGATCGTCAGCTCTTTCGGTTTCCTGACTGCAAGGAAGCCAATATCTGCTTTGTGCTCCTGCAGCCCTGTTGCCCTGGGATTTCTGCCACAACACCGCAGCAGAATCCCCTTTTTCTCTTAAAGCTCGTCAGTGAAAACCTCCCCGCAGAGCTGAGTATTCACATGGCTGCACCTTGGTGGGATACAAAGGGTCCAATCTAATCCTTCCTCCTTGACAGCTAATAATAATTAAATTAAAGAGACAAAGCCTTACAGATTGCAAGTTGTTTCCATGAGAAGTCCTCCTCCCCCACCTGGGGGAGTTTTCCTGGTATCTCCTGAAGAGATGCCAACAAACCCAAAAGCCCTTCCGGACACACAGGGAAACAGATTTGCCACCTACTCGAACAGCTCCCACACTGCTTCCCAAAAGATTTCTGCTCAGAGCCGTCCTTCTATTTCCCAGAGCTGGAGGGAAAACACACGGAAAGACATCTGGAGATGGAGGGACCACACTTCTTCACACCTGCTCTAACATCTATCGGCATCATCTGAATATCATTTGCAGCCATATTACCAACGAGGGCTGTGGGAGGTAAGGAAGTTTTGCTAACTGTGCCATTTATCTCTCTCCAGCTCCTGTTCCATCTCAGTACAATGGTGATGATATTTCCCAAAGCCACAGCGGAGCTATCAGCATTACTGAGGATGTGTGGGGCATGAAGAATAGAGCACTTACATCACACAACCTGCTATGCCTTAACCCAGCTTTACACAGGGAGAAGTGAGAGGCAAAGGGGGAAGGGAAGGAAATTTATGGCCAACCAGTTAATCACAGTTTTGAACCACAACAGTGAATGTTCAGCGTGAAATGGGGACTGTGAGTTATTTTCCTGAGGGTACAGTAAATTATTTTCATTAGCCAAGGGCTGTACCAATGTCAGATAGCAATGGGTGACTGATGGGCAAGCTCACCAGCGTGTTTGGCTTCTGTAGGCCTTATGCTAGAGACACAACACTTTTCTGTCCCAATTAAAAGCTGTTTTGTTTTGTTTTTCTTTCAGAGGCATCCTCCAAAGGGTCTCAGACATCTCCAAGATCCAAATTACCACAATGCAAACTCGCTATTAGGACCATGTTTGGTTGAGTTTCCGTCTCCTTTAAAAACTTAAAGCATCGTTGCTTAGGGTCAGGAATTTTCCCCTCCCTGCTCCTTCTGGGATAACTGTTGCACACAAGCATACTGACTGGGAAGAGGTTTAGCAAAGGGCAGTTAGCTAAAGCCTTCCATCTCAGTGCAAAGACACCCAGAGGTTTCATGTGGCTCTGCATCAGATCCTGTAGTGGTGCTGCTGAAAATCTCATTGATGGCACTGCTGCCCTAGTCCAATTGCACACCTGCTGGCACAAGCCGCCATCAACTTCAAAGGGAGCATGGACAGATGGAGCACTCCAGGCTATGATTTGGTTTGATGAGCAATTACACTCCATTACTATTATTTATGATGTGTTGCTGGCAGCACTCAATGCACACAAGTTTGATATCCACCTCCTTGGCTGACACTGGAGGGTTTTGTAATAATCAAAAGCAAGTGGTTCTGCTGAACTGCAGCATGCATCCAGAAAGCTGCAACAGGCTCTGCTGGAGGAGTGCGGAGGGACCACTGATAAACATCTCCTGTGGGTCATGCTGGCCTTTGTCAGAAAGCTTCGTTCAGTCAGATAGGTGGCAATCTGAAAGTACAAGAAAACAAGACATCTGCTGGTCAAGATAACACTGCTGTCTCTTCGCTTATTCATAGATCAGCTGAATTATTATTATGAATGACAAAGCACAGGACCGCTTGGTAAACCACACACACAGACATTATGTTTTAATAGGCTCACATGTACTTTCATCTGGAACATCTGGATCATGTTTACAAGAGGAAAAATGCAAATATAAATTCAGGAAAATTCAGTTACTCTGTAAAAACCTTGCTGGTGCACAGGCCAAAAGTGCCCACGAGCAAAGGGGTGAGAAACCAGTACTCAGTAAAATGGGCAAGGGGATATCCAGGTGTGAGGACAGTCGAACCGTCTGTAGAATGACTGCAAATGTCATTAAAATGACACGTCCTATTTCAGTAGGATGTGCTCTGAGAAAGGTGCTGAAGAGCAGAACCATTGGGATCATTCTCTGAGATGAAGACCTCCTGACCTAGCAATCCCAGATAGAGCAAGACACAGTACATGGAGGGTGAAGATATCTAACTGCAGAGGTAAGTGGGATCTCAGTTTCAGTGTCAGCACTGTGTTGATGGCATTGAGTATTTTTGTCCTTCTCTTTCTATCCTTCTGACAGATTTGTGGTGTTTTAGGGCATCTCTTTTTTCACAGAGAGTGCAAAGATCTAATCCCATTTTTGGCTGCTTTCTAACACCAACCTCCACTCAACCCCTGATAGACGCTGCATCAAGCACTCTCATGTTCTCATCTCCAAAGGCTTCTCCATCCACACACAAAACCATCAGCCTACCTCATGGTCCTTTTTAAGTGTTATAAATCACCATCAGTATGTCCACAAAATGAACCAACGTACCTGTCTGCATCTGGAAGCATCTATAGATCAGAGTGGAGAAGAGAAGGCTGTGAGGTGACCTGATAGAGGCCTTTCAGTATCTAAAGGGGAGCTACAAGAAAGACACTCTTTAGCAGGGTCTGTGGTGATAGGACAAGGGGAAATGATTTCAAGATCAAAAGGGTAGATTTAGGTTAGATATAAAAAAATCTTTTACAGTGAGGGTGGTGAGGCACTGGAACAGGTTGCCCAGTGCTGTGGTTGTTGCCCCATCCTGGAGACTTTCATGGCGAGGCTGGATTGGGCCATGGACAACCTGATGTAGCTGTAGGTGTCCTTGTTCAGTGCAGAGGATTTGGACTTGATGGCCTTCAGAGGTCCCTTCCAAGTCTAAGGGTTCTATGATTCTGTGATCAATGACAAGTGAGACTGTGAGCACAGAAAAGCACTGATACACAGCTCATTCATGCAGTAGGAGCAATCCAGCCATAAAAGAGATCCTGAAGCTCCATGGGGACTGGTTTCTGTGCTGCTGCAGTGTCACTGTTATAACTCTCAGCATAGCTTGTGTATCACAATTTCAGTGTTTGACAGAAAAGATATGCTCATGTTTCTTCTCTCATCTCTTTGCATCCATCTTCTCCTCCTTCCTTACAGTTAAATATAACTAAATATCTTTTTTTTTTTTTTAGGGCTTTTATTATTATTATTATTATTTAGGGTTTTTAATGCTTAGCATTGAGGAAATATAAGCTGTGGCTATTGCTCCTGCCTGCTAAATGAACACAAAATGAAGCCCAACAGTCTATCAGTGGAACATCCCGCAGTCATGCACAAAATACTCCCAGCCTTCGTCTTAAGTCATAGTTGCAGGTTTGATCTTTATTTTAAAAAGCTATGACCTAGTTTAAGCCAAAGTTACAGTCTGTGATCTGCAGATGGTCCAAGTGATCAAAATGTCACCTTCTGGCTTCCTTCTGTGTGACCTCCAAGAAACCAGGCCAGGCAAAAGAGCACACAAAAGTCTTATTGGGGAGACTGACATCAACATCTGCTCCTCAAAATTGCCCATGGAAGCAAGAAAGAGATGCTCATGAAACCTTACAGCTGTGCAGGAAAAAAAAAGGTAGCTATGACAGCCAGCTCTTCCTTCCCCACACTGCAGATAAGCCTGATGAAA